ATAACAAAATATTCCCTGGTGTTCAAATCTATAGATACTTGCACCGGAGAGACTGGTTCTGACAGCGCCTATCAACGGCAGACGGCTGCCTAGGATACTCAGTTTTATTTTTTCTCCGGATTTTCTGGAATCAGATCCAAACAGCTCTAACCAGTTCAAGTCGCTCTTAACCTAATTTTTCTGTCCCAACCCGGAATTTTAGTGGTTCCCATATTCGAGGTCATTTTCTTCCACAAATTTTAACCGAGAGTATTCCACGTCCAGTCTACTTTTGACGCCTCATATATTGCATACACGTTACGAACACCATCTTTTGACCCTTTCGATTTTTTTTTGAAGAAAATGAAGCCTCCTTAGGGCTCACCTGTTCACTTCGATAGGCGTTCTATCGATGTCGACCGTTGGAGAACGAGGATCGATGTGGAGGATTTTCTTGCAGTCTTTAGGTGTACCATCCTGTAATGAACAATGGTGATATCGCCTGAGGGTAAAAAATAAGAAGTGAAAGGTTAACCAGTGTAGTATCGCCTTCAGATACAAATGAATAGTCGAGTTTTGCTGAAAGCCACTGTCCCATGAATGCGCTGTTAGTCTCAAAGCAGTTTTCTGAAGAGTAAAAAATACCAGCAGCTCAACACCGAATACGTTTCGAACTAAACAATAAGTAAGAATTAGCGCCGATAAGGCGATGACCGTAAATGGACACAATAAAAAATGTACTTTTTGAATTTGAATTTCGCGCCAGTCATTGGCGTAAGGTGGAGTGTCGTCGGAATTTTTCTAGAATGGGTGGTCCGAATGATTAATAGTTCCAAGCTGATTACAAAAGTAATCAATAGGTTTTCCTCATTCACAAATTGGTCCTATGGGTTTAATCTTGACCCCAACATATAATGTATAGGCTTCACTCCAGACCAATTATTTACAGTAAAGGTTTGGAGTTTCTTTGGAAGTTTGGATTAAAAAGCTTTAACACTAGTCCAGATTTTTTTGTTCCAATTTATGAAGTAAAGTTCAAATCTGTGCTATTTCGGTATTACTTCACCACTATATTCGAATACGTTCAGTAAAAACCAGCAGAATTTTTCAACCACCGATGACTACTAATTGACGTCAGGTAGACTGAGTGTTTGAAAAGTTTTGAAACACTTTAAGAAATGTGCTTTGAAAATTCGAGTTTCGAAAGGCCTTCGCGACTTTCGAAAGGTTTCTGCCAAAACCAGACATTCGAATAAGTGAAATTTCGAACCACTTGTGGTTTTTTTTTGAAATTTCGAATCACTTGTGGTTTTTTTTTATCTTTTTCGAGTCTGCAAAGACTTATGTTTATTTTTTAGTCTTACTCAGAAAAGGGGAATGTGGTGCGACAGTCCATATCACTTATAGTAATACACTTTTCACAAGGGAAGGAGGCTCCGAGGTGGGTATAAGAAATCACAAACCCTGGGGATTTCCTTCCCTGCAGAAATTGGGATCTCTGTAGCGGCAGCAACTGATACATCACATGCTCCTTTACTGAGTGAATTTTTTTTTCAATTGTTTTTTTGTACGAAAATACGAGACTTAAAATTACGTCGATTTACTTTTGTTCGTATTTCTTATTACCTATGTGAATCGATGTGAAGGTGTTCTGCTGATTCATTCTTGTGCAGGTATAAGCACTATGTCAACTTTCCATCGTTTTCGTGGAATTCCCGTCATTCGTCTGACGGGAATTCGATGTGGACACAACTGTGAATCGATTCACTTCGAGGACTCGTTCTTTTTTCATTTCTATCATGAAATTCTACTCTATGCATACTAATGTCCATATGGAGCCTTCCGCGTTTACCTCACTACGGCATATACGTACCGAATTTCCCCTTATAGATACCGGTTCTCGGTTATTGATTGCGGAATTCGTCGTATTTCTGCTGCTGCTGACGTAATGCCCAAACGGGTCGTTTCATTCGCTGATGACGTCGCTTCCGGCTCGGGAACATCAAGTAAAAGATCTGCTTTGACAATCGAAGAAGCTGCTGAAGAATATGACCTACCTGATGGTGACGAGCGGGAAGAACAGGTTAGTTTTTTCAAATTTATTTTTCTTTACTTTTATTTTATCGCTCACGAATATTGTTAAAATTTCCCTGCACCGTCATCCCTTACTTTGAAACTTGCAGAATGAGTGGCTTATGCATGCAACGTTGTCTAACCGCGTAGTGGGATGCGCCATGCATTCTAATTCCACTCAGAATCTAGTAGCATTTTTGAATGCGTTCAATCTGTATAGTAACTTGCGGGGGTAGGCCAGTGTTCAAGTCATGTTTTCCTCCTTTCGGACAACTCTGGTATAAGCTAACCTGCCGCGTGGGTCTGGAGAGTTCGATTGGCCCGAACGGCGTACAATCCAGGATTGATCCCCGGACCGTGCGAAGTGAGCAGCGCCATTTGTCAACCCTTCTTTACTTCTGCCCTTAAACTTACTATTATTAAGATCTGAGCATATTCAGAAAACCACTGTTTCGGTTTGAATTTCTAGGCTCGTTTTTTTAAATGATTCAGCATATATCACTTTTACATGTTGGGTTTAATAGTTTATCTAGTTCCAAGCGAATATTCTTTGGAGCTTACCAGAATTTTTTTTTAAATGTCCTTTGCTCAACTCTTATCACAGTTACTGCAATAGACAATTCTTCATGGTAGCTCATACTGTTTCGACAGAATACTTTTGATTTTTTGACGCTATTCTAGATATCGCCTCTTCCAATTTTTGGCTCAAACTCGGTGAATTTTTTCCACTTCTACTTTCAATTTTCCTGCGCATTGCTGTAGAGTCCATGTGTGACTTCAAGAGTGCTGGCCTATTTAAATTGTAGCCTTTTTCCCTATTTTCCTTAATTTAGCCTACACAGTATTTCCCTGCTTCTTGAAATTCTTTGTGGAACCCTCTACATCGCTTGAAAAATTGAAGAAGAGCGTAGTGCTCCTACATAGT